CTGTCGCGCACCGAATTGTACTTGGCGTACTGAATTATACTGAGATAAACAATCTACTGTATATGGAGATCGCGCGATATTTAGCGAAATGGAATAGCAAATGTTTGATTTTCCAAACAGCTATGATGACGGGTCTATTTCCTAGAATTTACCCTTTAGTTGCTGATGTATTGGTGTTAACTCTTCTGAATCCTCGAGCTCTACTTCTTCCGAACCTGAACAGAAGCAAATAGGAAAGGCAGCTGTTGATGCTAGTGAGATATAAGCATCCCAAACCAATACACCAGCTAAATAAAAAGAAAGAATTTGGCAAAAGGGAACCAAAATCTTATTTCATCTTGTAAGTCAAAAGTTTTTTCAAGTTTATAAAAGGGCATAATTTAACTTAATAAAACATGACATTTAACTAACTGCAATGGATTACTGAAGACTAATTACTGACGGTTTTACGAAAAATAGGTTATTCTTTCACGGCTTCTTTACTTTATTCTTCTTAACCCCTTCGCCCAGATATTTAATGTCCATACGCTATGCGTGAATACACGATTATATTCTGAGAATAAGACCTCTTACCGCAATAGCCGCTGACTTCAATCGAGGGACAGTAAGAAGTGTCTGTTATATTTTTTTGCGAAATAACTGCAGTAGTCATTTTGATTTTGAATTATTGAAAGGGTCAAAAGTAACACATAAAGGATCAATAGACCAAACTGCTTGACCTAGAGTTTTGTTTAATTGGGTCAATTAAATGCTAATTAAAAGCTACATTTACAAATCACAAGATGTCGATGGATGGGTTGTTTCGGGAGTGTCAGCAGGTCCAGGTGCATGACGAAATACGGAAAATAGAAAACCTGATTGGAGCCATGCAGGAATCTGAAACAGGAATTACTTTCAAGTTGTTACGCATTTTTGTACATACTTTAGGTCACAAAAAGTCTTCCTTACTACTATACCAGCGGCCGTCTCTGGAGACAATTTAATTGGCTGGATTGAACATTTCCTTGGAGTTGAGGACATTCAAGAGGCGGCTCATATTGCAAACGTTCTTTTATTATACGGATACATATATCCATTGACGGACTACAAGTCTTCAATTGTCAAGGATGACCCTACAGCGTTCTACCGATTCCAGGTATGTTTGTTTACTTTCCCATCACCCAAATCTAGGCTCCGTACTATTGGATTTCAAAAATCCCCAAACCGGATGCTATGGACTACGCTATCTATCTTGTTAAGCGCACTCTGCGAAAACGGCAAAAGTATGGTTTAGAGGAGTACGAGCAATCGGCACTGCATCGACTGCAGAATATGCTTGGTCACAAATGGGAGTTCATTTGCATTCAAGCAGCAAACCAAGTTCGGCTTTATAAAGAAAGGCGTAAGAGTGACAAAATTGTCTTGGAGGCCCAGGTATTTAAATATTATTGCTTCAATACTATATATTTACTTTACTGCATGCAGTGGCAATATATATGTAGTACAGCTCCATTAAAAGCTGGCTGTAATGTGAATGAATTTGAAAATGTTATCGGATTTTATCTGCTGTTGAGGATGCATCTGAGAGCTTGCTGCTTACATTTGGTCTACTTTCCAGCCTGGGTTGTGAGTACCATCAGAAAATAACAAAGTTTATTTATTTAAAAACAGCTCCTAGCAGGATTTTTAGTTGCCCTTTGTGTTACTGCAGAAGTTTTGGTTCGGTAAAAAGCATTGAGGGTGAAACTTTTCCAACGCCTGACAGTCAAACGTTACATCCTAAAAGTATGTTGTATGGCTTGACTCTCATTATTAAACTGTTATTAAATAACGTTATCATTGAGAGTCTTTGTTGTATAAGCCAAGTCTAGTATGCTATTAATCCAATTTATGGTTGAATTTTATAACGTAGCTTTTCGAATGCCCTTGTGACATTTATGGAATCCCACCTTTCATTTCAGCATTAAAAATGAAACACGAATATTGTGCAGTCCGTTTTATTACTGTACCAACAGCTAAGCTTGAAATGATAGTACCGCAGTCGACGTTCAACCGTTTCAGAGACCGCATAAAAGTCCTGGTAAATATACAGTCAGCTCGCTTACATCTATTGGTAGTCACAAGCGTCCCGATAAAAAAACTCATTTGTCTTCCTTTGTGGACATTTGTTATAAGCCGAGGATCCCGGTGAGGGCAGAGCTTTCTTTTGAGGCCGCTTCTGTCTGGGATTAATTGTAAAAATTTACCTCCAAATTTCCAGTTGGTTGGATTTCCACCCATCCAAACCCTTCCTTGATTATGTTAACCAACAGTAGTTGTTCTTTTATTGTTATTGGTCTATAGGCATCACTTTCTGGCCAATAGGAATTTACGTTGGTCGATTTTGTTCTTTCCGTACGCTTTTTCCATATTTTATTTCAGCAAAGTAACTACAAAGGGACTTTGCTTTAGTACCCACTGCGCACTTATCACGCACTAACTACGCCTTACTCAAGAATTACCACGATTTCCGTAAAAAATTCGGCGATGGAAATTTTGCTATCAGGCGGCCTCTCAATATCGGAATAAAATTTGTATAGCTTGCCATTTTGAAAGCACATTCAAAATTTGACAATAATTTCGTTCGTATCTTATTTATGATTTCCGAATAGTCATCGAAAGTGAACACTGGGACAAGTAGAACCCCAAGAACCGTTTTCAGTCTTCCTAAATATGCATGTTTGTCACATTGAGCAAAACGGTGTCACAATTCGGCGAAAATATTTTCTTCGCTCAGTTGCGTTTACAGAATTTGTCTGACAGAAAACCTTGCCTCCATTGAGTTATTTAAACTGAAAATGTAAACAGCCCTTTAGTGAATCAATTACTTTTTTGTTAACGTCTTTGCTTAATTTATGTTCAAATCACTTTTTTAACCCACACCCCCCCTTCAACCTGCATGTTCAGGGTCGACGTTCATTTTCAGTTGCTTTGCGTCTTCTCTTTATCACTGTAACTCCATTTATTTTGTCACTTCTGCAGTACTTTTTTTCTGCATTACGTATATTCTGACACAAAAAGCCCGCTACACCGTGATCGGATGCTATAGTACGACGCTGACAGCCTTGCCGTCGGCAGAGTTGAGTCTATTCCCAAAACACAC